TGTGATTCAAATTGCGAATTGTAGCCACGGTTTAGAGCTATAACATACCTGAAAATCGTGAAGTTTCAACAGTGCGGTTTTCGTCGACGACGTTTCTTGTGAAGTCGACATTTCTGTCCAGAATTCCTAACCAACGATTTTGAGAAATTTGGGCTCCTATACTTCATAGACTCAGTCCTTAGTATCTAACAAAAGGAGTGCGTGTGAAGGAGGTGGTGGGTGGTGGTGATCTGAAGGGTGACAAGTGGAGGGGGAACCTGAAGGGGCGTGTGTGGGAGAGGTATATGGATGGCATGGCTTGCATTCTGGAGCATGGAGGGGGGGGAGGAAGGGAGTTCAGGTGCAGCCACTACACTGCGGGGGGGAGAAGCTGCAGCAGCAGCAGCAGCAGTAGCAGTAGTGTGAGTAATGTTGTGGAAGGTAGGGATATTCCCAAGGGCTTGTATGTGAGTAGCGTGGGTGCGACTGACTTCGCTCTGGCTGTGGCCTCTGTGTTCTCCCGAGCAAAGCACCGCAAGCTGGCAGCCATGTTCTTCTTGTGGGCTCGGCGCAACTAGCGACAACGTGCACGATGCCGCCATTGAGGAGGCCCGGGGGAGGCTGAGAAGGCGGAAGCTGACAAGTGGGAAGCTAGGGAAAGGGGAGAATGAGGGAGGGGAGACAGGAGGAGTGGAAGCAGCAGTGTCAGGCGCGCCGGCAAAGGGACGAGCAATTCCCACTGCTGCTGTGCTCTCAGCCAGAGTTGGATCTTCTATTGACAGCGGCAGATCCACTGGTATCTATTCAACCAGCGGCATCAGTAGCAGTGGGATGCTCAGTCGTGGCCTCGTGCCTGTCAACACAGACCCTGGTATTGGAGTTCTCATGTATCCGGTTGCTCGCATTTTGCAATGGCTTCGGATCTACAGCTCAGATTCCATCTCCGCCAAGATCTGCTTCAACAACAGGCCGCAGGGAAAGGTTTTGCCCATACCCCACCCGCTTCGGGATCTTCCGAGCCTGCTGGTCCAGTTCGGCGCTGTTCTCCCGCCCTTGGATGGAAGCACCCACCTCCCAGAGTGGGACGAGTGGCCTGAGGGGGACGAAGTTGCTATGAAATCTCCTGAGGACCCCAGTGCCGCATGTTTTGGGTAGGGCAGGGCTGATGGCAGGCAGGGTCACAGGAACAGCAGGAATGTGGCAGCGAAGCGGGGAAGCTTCCAGGAACCTCTCACCAAGCAAGTGCCGCTGCCTGAGAGTGGGGAGTCCCGTCCAATCGTGCGGTGCAGGGCAGATGCAGACTTAGTCGAGTTTGCTGCTTTGTTCCTGGAGGCACCAGCATGCGCCCACTGCATTGGGTGCATCACCCTCTACATCTCGCATGCCGCTTTCGTCGCTCTCATTGCCAACTTTGCTTATCGCTCTGCCTCTGTCCTTCTCGACCGCTTCCTCTCCGTCTTCAAGCCGCAATTTGAGGTGTTTCAGAGCCTTCTTGCTCACCTGGGGATAGAATCTTCCTTGTAAGCTCCTCACGGCAGCTTCTCTGGCAAGCGGAGCAGCAGCAGCAGCAGCAGAAGCAGCAGCAGCAGCAGCAGAAGCAGCAGCAGCAACGTGCATGCGTTACGTGAACGGGTGGAGCAGGTACCAGTTGCTTTTCTTCTCAGCCTGGCGATGCTCTGCGCCACGCCGCTCCTGCAACGGAGCCGCACGGAAGGCGGGTGGTGTCCCAAGGCTGGGGGGGGGGGCTCTGGGGCTAAAGAGAAGGAAGGCGGGAGATGGTCAGGGAATGGGGGTTATGGGGAAGGCAGGGAGGGCAGGAAGGGTGCAGATCGTGGGGTTGTGTGGGAGGAGGTGCAGTCGTGGTTGACGGTGGCCATGCTGCCAGCCTCTGGTATAGGGGGATGCGGGCCCACCTGTGGTGGCAGGCAAGCAAGGGAGCAGGATGTGAGTGCACGGGTGGAAGAGGTCTCAGACATGTACTAGTGCTCTCTGCTGCCCGTGGAGTTCCGTGCAGCCATGAAGCACGGGGGTGGGCTTGGTAGTGTCAGCAAGGGGAAGGGAAAGAAGGGGGAGGTGCCAGCTTATCTGAAGGCATGGCCGGGGGGAGTCAACCTGGTGGCATGTGTGCGAGATATGCTGCTGGGGGAGCCCTGCTACCGCCCTGCCTCCTCTGCTGCTCCATCCTCTGGTGCTGCACGAAACAATGCGGCCGCATCTGCTCCTGTTACCGAAGGCTCGGGTACTGCTGATTGTAGGCAGCGTGCATGTGGAGCTGTGGGATGTGGTACGGTGGAGAGTGGTGGTGTGAAGCTGAAGAGCTGTGGTGGGTGTGGCAAGGTGGCGTATTGCAGCAGAGAGTGCCAAAAGGCGCACTGGCCCTCCCACAAGCTCACATGCCCCGGCAGAACCAGTGGCAAGAAGAATGGGAATGTGAGTGGGAATGTGAGTGGGGATGTGAGTGGGAATGTGAGTGGGGATGTGAGTGGGAATGTGAGTGGGAATGTGAGTGGAAATGTGAGTGGGAATGTGAGTGGGAATGTGAGTGGGGATGTGAGTGGGGATGTGAGTGGGGATGTGAGTGGGGATGTGAGTGGGAATGTGAGTGGGGATGTGAGTGGGGATGTGAATGGGGATGTGAGTGGGAATGTGAGTGGGAATGTGAGTGGGATGTGAGTAAGGATGTAAGTGGGGATGTGAGTGGGAATGTGAATGGGAATGTGAGTGGGGATGTGAGTGGGGATGTGAGTGGGGATGTGAGTAGGGATGTGAGTGGGGATGTGAGTGGGAATATGAGTGGGAATGTGAGTGGGAGTGGGAGTGGGAGTGTGAGTGGGAATGTGAGTAGGAATTTGAGTGGGAATGTGAGTGGGAATGTGAGTGGGAATGTGAGTGGGAATGTGAGTGGGAGTGTGAGTGGGAATGTGAGTAGGAATTTGAGTGGGAATGTGAGTGGCAGGAACTCCAGCAATGCTGGAAGGTAGTGTGGGTGGTTTGCTAGTGAGGGGGATTTGGGAGACTCATGCAAGAATTGGTGTTTAGTGTGACTGCTGTGGTGCAGGCTCTGTTTTGTAGTTAAAGTGCTGCTTCCTGTCTTCTGCTGTAGTTGAACTGCTGTTTCCTGCCGGTGAGAGAATCGATTCTACGTCTTATTCCTTTGCCTCTGCCTTGCTTCATCACTTCCCTTTTTATTGCAAGTGCTTACCCCTTTGCTCACTCACTCTCCCCTCTTGCTCTGAACAGGTCAGAAGCACTCAATGCGTGCAAGATGATGCGCATGCCGGGCTTCAGTTTTTCATAACGTAGCATCTTGCTGGAGGCGTGGTTGAGTCAGATGTGCCTGAGTCAAGCATGCCCGAGCTATGATCATCAACGTTCACTGTCCTCTGCTTAGGTGGATCTGTCTTCTGATTGAAAATGCGACATGTGTATTGCCACCAATGTTGTCCTGGCAAAAGTCACTTCCCCTTTCCCTTTCCTTCCCTCCTCATCCCCCTTCGCTCCCCTCTTTTTTCCTCTTTCCTTCTCCCTACTCCTGTTGAAGTTAGGACAGCGGAGTGAATTGCATTGAACAGAATGTGGATACAAGCACCTAACCCTAACTCGGTTGTACCCTATAGACACTAACCCTTTACAGCCTACTCGTAATACCCTGGATATAAGACACCCCCCAGTTGTAGACCCCCGGGTCTATAATACGGAGGGAGGTTCACTAAATAAGTTGTTTGTAGTTTCCCGTTTTACCGTGGATATAAGCGCAGGTGCGCTTATAATAAATCAGTGTTTTTTAGGGGGGTGCGCTTATAATTGAGTAAAAAATATAAGCGCATGTGCATATATAATGACAAGTACAATTTTTTTCTTACTGCACCAAAATGTACATCCCCTTCTTGCAATTTCAATCGAAGCGCAATGATAGGGGGTCACAATTCAGAGTCGCACGTGGGCGATTTTCTGCCGGCGCACTGAGGCAGTTACACGTCATTGCGTAGGAATTCCAGGTCATACTGATTGGACGCGCAGGATGTAGGGTCCTCGCGAGTCAATCGAACCAAAAGTGGTGTGACCTCGCTGCAAAATTGAAATTCATTACCGTTTCAAGCAAGTTCATTTTTTTTTAAAATATTATACATGCGCTTATTATACATTCGTCAAGGTTTTACAGGGGGTGCGCTTAAAATCGAGGATCGGCCATAAAGAAAGGGTGCAAAATCAGGGGGGTGGTTTTTGGGGATAAACTCGTGTACACCCTAGCAGGGCCAGTGATCCGCTAGCGAAATTTGGATCGGGTTGTATGCCTGGCGCGAGGTGACGACACCACACTAGCGAGGGCGTAAGAAATCGCCCAATGTTTGGGGGAACGAGCAGAAAGGGGTTGGGCGAAACGCAAGCCCCCATGCGCCCCCAAAAAGCGGAGACCACACAAAAACAGTCCCCGTCAGTCCGCAAATCACCGCAGCAGTGGATTTACAGCCTGCAAATCTCTACTCGTTGAGACTGAGGAAACGGGGACAAAGTCACCACGACCTGAAGCGTAGCATGGATCTAACAGCCGCAAACGGGTTTAAGAAGGATATCACGCGTGACGGCCACATTTCGAGTAGACCGCGAGTAGAACCAGACAGTGCGGCGAGTCGCGAACGGATCGTAGGCATCCGAATGCGGGGGCCGAACCGCATACGGCTTGACCCCGGGGAAGCCGTGTTTATAGCGTCGTAACCTCCGGCCTCTTCGGCGAAGATCCTCCACCATGCATCACCCCCGCGCCCAGCGTGAGGCATTGCCGCCCGACACCCTCAAAGCTGCCTTTGCGCTGTCACACCTTCCGTAAAGGCACAGCTCGGTGCGGCAACCAACGATCCGCAGCATTACCGCATCGCAACGAAGTGGTAGGAGGGTTTCCGGCGAGGCGTCGCGGCCTCACATCCACATCGCCGCCGCGCCCAGGCATCGCCCCTCGTCCACGAAACGCCAGCTAGCCGCGTCGCATCCTCGTCGACGTGGCGTCTTAGCCTCGCTGCCACATGGGGAACTCCCCGCCACGCCTACAGGTCACCGCCGCCCTCTGTGCACTCATGCCCCTCTCAGTTCAGTGCCTACCCTCTCTCATCCCGTCTTCTCCTCTCTCAACCCGTCGACCCCTCTCTACTCCCCCCCTCCCCTCTCTCATCTGTCCTCCCCTCTCCACTCCCTCCCTCTCCTCTCCAACCCCGTCCTCCCCTCTCTCATCCCGCCATCTCCTCTCTCATCCCTCCCGCCCCGGTCTCATCCCGTCCCCCCCTCTCTCATCCCTCCCTCTCCTTTCTCACCCCGACCTCTCCTCTGTCATCCCTCTCTCTCCTCTCTCGTCACTGCCTCCCCTCTCTCACCCCTCCCTCTCCTTTCCCATCACGTCCTCTCCTCTCCCATCCCTCACTCGCCGCACTCATCTCTCACTCTCATCTCTCATCCCATTCTCCCCCTCTCATCCCTTTATTTACCCTCTCATCCCGTCCCCCCCTCTCCCATCCCTTACACACCTTTCTCATCCCGTCCTCTCCTCTGTCATCCCTCCTCATCCCCCTCTCTCCTCGCAGGACCATGTCCTCCCATCTCTCATCCCGCCATCTCCTCTCTCATCCCTCCCGTCCCTCTCATGTACCTGTCCCTCCCTCTCTCATCCCGTCCTCTCCTCTGTCACCCCTCTCTCCCCTCTCTCGTCACGACCTCCCCTCTCACATCCCACCCTCTCCCCTATCATCCCGTCCTCCCCTCACTCATCCCTCCCTCTCCTTTCCCATCCCGTCCTCTCCTCTCTCATCCCTCACTCTCATCTCTCATCCCTCCATCTATTGTCCCTTCCCCCGCTCTCTCATCCCGTCCTCCCACTATCGTCCCTTCCTCCGCTCTCGTATCCCATCCTCCCCTCTCTCATACCGTCCTCTCCTCTCTCCTCCCTTCCTCTCCTCTCTCATCCCGTCCTCCCCTCTCTCATCCCTCCCCCTCCTCTCTCCTCTCGTCCTTTCCTCTCTCATCCCGTCCTCACCTCTCCCGTCCCGTCCTCCCCGCTCTCTTCCCTTCCTGCTCTCTCCCATCCCGTCCTCCCCTCTCTCATCCCGTCCTCCCCTCTCTCATCCCGTCCTCCCCTCTCTCAGCCCGTCCTCTACACTCTCAGCCCGTCCTCTACACTCTCAGCCCGTCCTCTACACTCTCAGCCCGTCCTCTACACTCTCAGCCCGTCCTCTACACTCTCAGCCCGTCCTCTACACTCTCAGCCCGTCCTCTACACTCTCAGCCCGTCCTCTACACTCTCAGCCCGTCCTCTACACTCTCAGCCCGTCCTCTACACTCTCATCCCTCCCTCTACACGCTCATCTCGTCCTCCCCTCTCTCAGCCCTCCCTCTCCAGTCGCGATGGTGCCTCGCCAGCGCACATGCCTTCGCGCCTCTTCCCTGCCGTCCACTCTGCCAACGCCCCCTCCCCTTTCTCCCTCCCCTTTCTCCCTCCCCTTTCTCCCTCCCCTTTCTCCCTCCCCTTTCTCCCTCCCCTTTCTCCCTCCCCTTTCTCCCTCCCCTTTCTCCCTCCCCTTTCTCCCTCCCCTTTCTCCCTCCCCTTTCTCCCTCGCTGCGCCCTCCTCCCCTTTCGTGCCAACGCCCCCTCCCCTTTCTCCCTCACCGCGCCCTCCTCCTCGGCCTCCCATGCCCTTCGCAGCATCAACAGGCCTGCAACCCCAATCAGGGCGGTGGGGGCAGAGAGGGGCAGCGAGTGCGCGACCGCTGAAGGCGTGGCAGCTTCCTCACCAGGCTACGGGGGGGGTGTACGGGCTTACCGCACGCCTCCTGTTTCCACGTGTCTGGCGACGGTCTCCCGGACCCGCCCGCGCATCCAGCAGCGGTATGTGCGCGCACGGGGGAAGTCTTAGTGTCAGTGGTCCGAATGGGGAGGCAGCGGGTAGCCGAGATGAGGGTGACAAGGACGTGGCTGAATCCCGGTGGCCTACCCAACCCGGTACTCCTCACAGCCCCTCCCCTTCCCCTCGAGACAACGTACCATCCCCGCCCCCTCCCTTCCATTGGGTAAACATCTCCACGCATCCTACCATCGCTCCTCCATTCCCACCTCTCATCCCTTCCTTACGCTCTGTCCTCCCTTCCTCCCCTGTGATCCTCCCTTCCCATCATCACACTCTACCACTACGGATGTGCAGGGAGATGCTGTGTCTTAGGAAGTTGGGTGTCCCAGAGTGTGCATCAGCATGAGCATGTGTGTTTGCCCTCCAGACATCCAACCCGCATCGATCCTGTAATCTTCTTGTCCCTCTCTTCACACCTTGCCCACCACTCCCTCTCCGTGTCCACCTCTCCCCACCCGGTTGCATCACTCTCCCCCTTGTCCTCCCCCCCCTCCCCCCCCCCCACCCCCCCCCCCCCCCTCCGGATCACTCTCCCCCTTGTCCTCCTTCCCCCCCCCCCCCCCCCTCCCCCCCCCCGCGATCACTCTCCCCATTGTCCACCTCTCCCCCTCCCTGGATCACTCTCCCCCTTGTCCACCTCTCCCCCTCCCTGGATCACTCTCCCCCTTGACATGCGGGAGCCCAACACGCGATCACTCTCCACCTTGACCTCCTCCCCCCCCCCCCCTGGATCACTCTCCGTCGTGTCCTCCTCTCTTCCCCCCGGATCACTCTCCCCTTGGCTGCTGCTGCTGCACTCGTGCTGCACGGCGTAGTTGTTGCGTGAAACCCTCTTGTCCTCCTCTGCCCCCCTTTTCCCCCTCTCCTCCCCCTCTGTCCTCCCGACAGTATGAGGCTATCATGCCTCACTGCCACACCCGACCTCCCTCTTTCCGTCCAAGGATGGTGTGCACATCATCAGGAGTACGTCTGGCAGGGGACTGTGCTCACCGCACCTGAGGTGAATATACGAACACAAGTATGCATGTATTGGTTGATGAATTCCATTCAATTGCTTTTTCAACAGCAACCACCACGGCCCTACGTACCCAAAACAAGGGATTCCGCCACTTCCCTCCTCGTCGTACCCCCCCCCCCCCCCCCCCCCCCCCCCCATCCCACATCCCTGCTCTGCCTCTTCCCCCCTTGACCACTCTTCACCCTTGTCCGCCACTCTACACCGTGTCCCCATCTTCTTCTGCCGTCCTCCCCTCCCCAGTGTGTCCTTCATCCATACCTCCTCTCCTCCCAACTTTCCAATCATCCCAACCATCCCAGCACTCCCTAACCATCCCGTCCACCCATCTCTCCTCCCCTCCCTCCTTCTCTCATCCCCGCCTCCCCTCGCTCCTCCCCTTCGTCCTTCTCTCAGCCCAATGACCCCTCTCTCTTCCCCCCCCTCCTTCTCCCATTCCCGCCTCCCCTCGCATCTCTCCTCCGTCCTTCTCTCTTCCCCTCCTTCACTCACACATACCCTCCTCCCCTCTCATATCACCTCTTCCCCTCTCTCATCCAATTCGGAGCCTATCTCATTCCCTCCTCCCCGCTCTCATCTCCTCCTCCCCTGTCTCTTCTCCTCCTCCCCTCTCTCATCCCCTCATTCCCTCCCTCATGTCCTCCTCCCATCGCTCCTCCCCACTTTCCAACTCTCATCCCCTCCTCCCATCTCTCAACCCCTCCCTCCGCTCATCCCCGCCTCCACTGGCTCCTCCCCTCCATCCTTCGCTCATCTCAATTTCCCGGCGTTTCATGTCGGCATAGGACTTTTTTTTTCCTTTGTTGGGCTAATTGTAGCCAACGACGTGCCGACTTTAGGGCCTCTCGTTGCTTGCCCACAAAATCCTTTGCGGCAGGTAATTTCAAACCGCCGATCCCATGCGTAGCAGGTGTTGTGGGATGCCGACCACAGTTCAGGATAAATGGTTTTTCATATTGTGAAAGGCTACTTAGGCTGACTTGCAAAGGCAGTGTTATCATTTCATATGGGTCTTCTGAGGCAAGTGCAGTCGGGGCTAGCGGTGCCGTTCGATTGATAGCTGATGCGTGGCGGGTGAAGGAGCCGTTGAAGGATCCCGCAATTGCGTGGAGAGGGAGATGAGCTGATCCTGAGCAATTGTAACGTACATCTCCTTCGCGCTGTCGCTGCGCCATCGGCCCATGCGTTTGAAGAGCCGGTCAGGAACTCCGAGGCTTGCCGCCGCCGTGGCTGCACCTTTGCGGAACGAGTTGGTTCCAATGTGCACGACATCCAGTCCAGCCTGCCTGCCGGCCGCGAGACACCAGTTTCTGATCGTGACGTAGGATGGCGATTTGTCGCCCGGCGTGGCTTGCGAGTTCTTCGGGAAAACCCTTATCAGCGGTCCATGTGGCACCTTTGTGAGGCCTGCGATGTGTATGAATTTGCGTGTGCACCGCACTGGGCAGTATGGGCCGGAAATTGCTGCCACTGGGATCCAGACACCCCTCCCTTCCTGGTCCGTCTTGGAATGCGGGATGAGCAGCCACATTGCCTTCTCCTCGAACTGTACATCATTCCATTGGAGCGAGACGAGGTCAGAGAAGCGCAAGAATGCCGAAAACATGAGAAGAGGAATCAATCCTTTCTGATGTTCCGCAGGAATCGATGATTCGAGGAAGGGACGTGCCATCTCGTGCACTTGATGGAGAGATATAGGTTCTTTGGTCCTGGCAGGCCGGGGACCATGTCCCTTGGCGAACTCTCGCACTTGCACGGTGAATGGTCCGATCGTAGGGGAGGCTTCGCCAGTCATGCGGTGGGCGGAGGCTACTGCCGAACATGTGAGGTTGATCGCTTGTTGTTGAGGGCATGGATGAGATACAGAGCTAGCGTCAGGTCGGTTGCCGGTAGGAACTCGAGCTTAACTTGGGTACAGAAGGTGCGAAATTGCTGCCAATAAAGTTGGTACGCCTCGATTGTAGATGGTGCGCAAACGTGGCTAATTACGTGTATCAATTATTGCTGTAGTTTGCCCAAAAGTCCTGAAATGACACAGTAATGAATTTTATTAGATTGCATACTTTACACGCAAAGAAATGATTGGGCTATGAGGCAATCCGAGACCGGAAGATGCAGTGGTGTGTGAACCTGCCCGAAGGCATTGACATCCTTGGGCAAGGGCAAGGTGTGCTACTACAGCCGGGGCCCATGCGTGGGTGGACGGTTGGAGAAGCGGTCACCATGACGCTCCGGTCCACTGGGGAACTATCCGCGTGAGTTCCGCCTGCGTGAGTTCGACATGGTGGATTGTAGCGGGGACTAAGTGCGGCGGCGGGAAGGCAAAGCATCTCTCGCTTTCCAAGAAATGGAAAATGCATCGACGACGAACGCATCGGGATGCGGTATCTTAGAGCAGAAGCGTTGGACTTGACTGTTCCGGGCGTTAGCAAATAGATCAATCGTGTGGGGCCCCCAGCGACGTTCTAGGAGGCGAAACCAAGGCACGTGTAGGGAGTAGTCGTCATTATTTTGCAGCTTGGATAGGTCATCCGCCTGGACGTTGAGTTCTCTTAGAATCCATTCGATCGGGCGTATGGTGTTGCCGAGACAGAACTGGATGATCGTTTGGCATGTCAACGTAAGGTCCGCCTGACGGGATCCCCCTTTGCGCAAGATGAACATAACTGCTTGGTTGTCCACCCGGACGAGGACGTGAGCGCCTGCAATTTGTGTTGCGAACGTCTGCAGTGCCCAGAACACTCCCTCGAGCTCTCGTCGCGTACTGGATGTGAAGAGGAGCGCGCGTGGCATGCATTCACTAGCTTCGCATGATGCACTTGGGAACTTGGCCAAGGTGGCCCCCCAGCTGTGTGCGCTTGCGTCAACGTGGATCACGGCATCAAACTGTTGACTCTGGTGGAATGGGGCACCATTGAAACGATCGAAGTGGACTGTCCCAAACAACAACTCCTCCGTCGCTCTTGGTGAATATGTAACCTTTGCGTTCCATGAGCACGCAGAGTCGATCAAGTGCAGCAGCTCGTGGCTGAAGGCACGCGCCTCGTACCTAGTGCGAGCGACATAGAGCTGAGAAATCCCCTGATTCGGGGTATCTTTCGAATCGGCATTTGTCGACCCGATTGCCCTTTTTTAACAAGTAGGTGGAGCTCCTGCAGGAGTTGCTCGCGCCGATCTTCTCCGATAAGGAACATCCCTCGTTCCGTGTCGAGCTCCATCCCCAAGAAGCGCAAGTGGTGTGTCGGATGCAGGTTTGACTTCATAATATTTATCACAAATCCCGCCGCCTTCAGGTCTTGGAGAACTTCGATGCACGTCGAACGGGCTTGCGTCGCGGAGTTGCACAGGAATAGTAGATCGTCTACGTATGGTATTATACGCACTCCGCGCGCGCGCCATCTCTTGGCTAGTTGCTTAATAAGCTGGGTGAAGACGAACGGGGCTGTTGCCAAGCCGAAAGGTAAGGATGTGAAGCAATAGCACTTGCCATCCAGTTGAGAGCCCAAAAACCTCCAGCATGACTTTAGGTCGATGGTGAACATCCAGTCGTTTGGGCGAATGATTTCCGCGACCCGACCCAAGCCCTCGTACTTGAACTTGGGAACTGGAGGTGAGCGTTGACCTTCCGCAGGTCAAGAATGAGACGGCATTTGTCTCTTTGCTCGACAACATTGAGCGGGCTAATGCATGTCAGTGCTTCTTTCGATGAGACCTGTACCGCGGCTCCTGACGCGATGAGGTCGCTGACGGCGCCTTGGGTGAAAGCCATGTGTGCGCGAACCCCTGCGTGATTGAGGGCTTCGTAGGGGGATGGCTCCGCGCCCTTCCATGGTAGCCAGTACCCTTTAGCAATGATGGAAAGGATGAAACTGCTGTCGCACCATGATAGCCACCAGTGGAGGCTGTTCCGCAATCTCCTTCGCATGACGGATACCATATTGTCCGTTATTGCATGCTCGTATGGGTCCCAGTGAGCGTCTTGCCACTCGCTTCC